ATTCTTATTTTTATCTAGAATCTTTACAAAATCAATTAAAACGCTAGGGCTTTGTCATCTTCTTCCTTCTGCGCCGCCGATTTTGTAGATATTTTATAAAGAACAAACGCGTTATCAAGAATTTTTTAATTAGATTATTAGATTATCATATATTAGTCTTAAATATTATAAATCAATTTTAAAATAAAAATTCGAAACTAAATATTTTTTTTCTAACTTAATCTTATTAAGTAAAGATAAAATTGTCATTTCAACTCTTAAAATATGGTAGTTTTAAAGTGTAACAAGGTATATATTTTAAATTTCCAATAAAATTTGGTGTATAGAAGACAATTTTCCCATTATTACATTTGGAGACTACAAGTAAAGCCAAAACAAAACAATCACGCATTTCATGGAGTCAATGTCACTTTCTTCCTGCTATTAAACGTCACATATGTGGAAAGGATACTACATTAAGAACGAGCCACGAGGTACACGTACAAACATAAAAATGGAATATTTTAATAATTTGGATCACTTATTTAAAGTTGTTCTGCACTGAGAGATGAAAGGAGGGAGGGAAAAAAGAGAGGTTAAGCAATGGTGAAAAAGGCAGAGAAGAGAAGGATAGTGTTAGTTCCAATTCCAGCACAAGGTCATGTAATTCCAATGATGCAACTCGGGAAAGCCCTTAACTTGAAAGGATTCTCAATTACAGTTGTTCAGGAAGAACTCAATCGAGTAAGCTCTTCTTCTCAACACTTCTCTAGTTTTCAATTTGTCACTATACCAGAAAGCTTACCAGGGTCTGAGTTCGAGAGACTCGGACCAACCGAGTTTCTCTTAAAGCTCAACAAAGCCAGTGAGGCAACCTTCAAGGACTGTATAGGTCAGTTGTTGATGCAACAAGGCAATGATATTGCTTGTATCATCTATGACGAGCTCATGTACGTCTGTGGATCTATAGCTAAGGAGTTTGAGATTCCCAGTGTCATCTTTGGCACTACAAGTGCTACAAATCAAGTTTCACATTGTATTCTAAGCAAACTCAATGCCGAGAAGTTCTTGGTCGACATGGAAGGTGCCAAACCAGCTTAATAACCTATCTCGAAACCATTCGTTTCACTAAAACATGATTTTTTTTTTTACTTTTCAGATCATAAAGTGCAAGATATGGTGGTGGAAAATTTGCATCCAGTAAGATATAAAGACCTACCAACTTCAGGGATGGAGCCACTAGAGCGATTTATCGACCTTTGTACGGAAAAATCAAACAAAAGAACAGCTTTTGCTCTTATCGTCAACACGGTGACCTGTCTAGAGAGCTCGTCTGTGACACGGCTACAGAAAGAACTCGGAATTGCAGTGTACCCATTAGGCCCTCTTCACATTGCATCGTCTATAAATTCTAGTTTACTAGAAGAGGACATGAGCTGCATTGAATGGCTGAACAAGCAGAAAGCAAGGTCAGTCATATACATAAGCTTGGGAAGCATAGTTCTAATGGAAAGCAAGGAAGTTTTGGAGATGGCCTGGGGGTTGTGTAATAGCAACCAACCTTTTTTATGGGTCATCCGACCAGGCTCTGTCCTTGGCTCAGAAGGAATAGAGTCACTGCCAGAGAAAGTGAGTAAGATGGTTTCAGAAAGAGGATACATTATGAAGCAGGCACCGCAAATTGAAGTACTTGGACATCCTGCAGTGGGAGGCTTTTGGAGTCACTGTGGATGGAACTCGATACTGGAAAGCATTGTCGGAGGAGTCCCAATGATTTGCAGACCTTTTAAGGGTGAGCAGAAGTTAAACGCAATGTATATAGAAAGTGTTTGGAGAATAGGGTTTAAGGTGGAAGGTGAGGTGGAAAGAGGAGTCGTCGAGAGAGCTGTGAAGAGGTTGATTGTGGACGAAAAGGGTGTAGGCATGAGGGAGAGAGTACTTGTTCTGAAAGAGAAGATCGAAGCTTCTGTTAAAAGTGGAGGGTCCTCATACAATGCATTGGATGAACTTGTCAAGCACTTGAAGGCAGAGTAGAGATGCTCAACTTTATGCATTACGTACTAGAGAAACATTGAATTGTAGATCAAGTTTGATTGTGCAAATTTACAAGGTACATGTGTGTTTTATTCAAATAAAAAGCAATTCAAATCGAATACATGTCTTTCTTTTTTGGCAGTTTGCTCAAGATAGAATTGTTGCATCCTAAAAAAAATGTCGGTATGGAACACTGTTTGTTTTAATATACATGTTATATGTATGATCATGAAGTTTCAGCTCCAACAAATTTCACTATTTGTTCCTCAAGATTAATTTATGTCTTTGGATAAACACAAACCTGATATTTATATCCAGAAATAATGTCGTATCATTTCAGAGCTGAAGATGCAAATTTACTAGTTTTCTCAAACCAAAAGTAGCACCTATGCTATCAACAAGATGGTGATAACAACCAAATACTTTAATAGTATACCAACCTTATATAATATCTCCATGGAAAAGTGGTGATAAGTCACAACATATGCAATTACAGGTAAAATAACTTTAAGGATAATTTTTAATCGTTAAGATCTTCTCTGCCATGTAAGGTTGTTAGTGCAGAAGAATCTGCTGAATCAACAGGATCAGTGAAGCAGTGAAGAGTTCGTGTGCTACACAGAAGCTGAAAGAAATAATCAGCAAACTAAGGAGAAAAGTCTTCTAGTGTCTAGGTACGCCAGATGGCACTTCGAGTTGGGAACCGCACTACCAGGAAGCGTACGCGGGAAGTCGAGTTCGGGAAACAAGGAGGTCTGACATAAGTGCACAAATTCAAGGTGCAAGTGGGATTACTTACTGTTGATCAAAGGTTGATGAGACTGGTGGTCTGACATCAACAGGAACAGTTCTGTTGCCCTTTCAGATTAAGGGGGAGCTATTTTTAGGGCTATAGGAGTTGCTGGTTGCTACTATTATAAAAGGAGGGGGGGATAGTTCATATGCCGACTAGTTCTTCCGAAATATGTCTTTGAAGAACTCAAAAACAGTGAGAGCCATTTGATCTGTTGTGTTGAGTGAAAGAGATAGGTTTCGTAACTGTTCTTGCGTTACATTGGGTAGATTAGGAACAAGTAATCACGTGTGTGTGATGTCGCGTAATTCTGGGTAGAATAGGTTATAGGATCTGTTCTATAGAAGTGTTTATGTAATCTATCTGTTACAACAACTGTGTTGTGTATCAGCTGTTGTGCCCTGCGGTGATAGCAATAAAGACTGTGTGTTTTTATTGAAAACTACCTGTTTCATTTACTTATCTCTGCTTTAGTATCTTGTGCAAAAGTTCCTGCTTTTTCATTTGGTATCAGAGCGGATCACCAAACCGAGGAATGTCACTTCCTCAACAGGTGAAGATCCTGAGGCGTACTGGACCTATCTGCAGTACAAACAGAGAGATTGATCTAACGACAATGCTGAGCAGTGAGGATGAAG